CAGGAGACTCGCTTGAGCCCGGGAGTTGGAGGTTGCTGTGAGCGTGATGCCATGGCACTCTACCCAGGGGGATAGCTTGAGGCTCCGTCTCAAAAAAAAAAATAAAGATGGGAGTCTCGCTCTGGCTCAGGCTGGTCTCGAACTCCTGAGCTCAAGGGATCTATTGCCTTGGCCTCCCAGAATGCTAGGATTACAGGTGTGAGCTACCATGCCTGGCCTCTAGGTTTGAATTTAACACACAGAACTAGTCTATGAGGTCCTTGGAGTAACTGACTACTGCAGGGCTAGCTATACCTCCCCTTTTTTATGGGAACTTCTCAGTCACCCATATCTTAACAGTGGGCAACTGACCCAAGCTGGGCCATCAGTCTTCCCCCATGGAAATTTGGCTTGGAATAAAAATGAATTTCTGTTTAGGTGAATGGACCCAAAGCATAGGAACTTCCTAGTGAACGTCTTCCACCTGCAAATGATACAGATGAGCTGAGAGAGCAACCCAGTGTTTCTAGGCCCCAGTTTTTAGAACCTGAGACACAGCTGCCTACCATAGCCTTTAGATTCTATGAGCTGCCCTTTGCCATTGTAATAAATAGCCCTTTCCAGTGGACAAGTACTGTTTGTTTTTTGAGACAGAGTCTCACTTTGTCACCCTTGGTAGAGTGCCATGGCGTCATAGCTTATAGCAACCTCAAACTCTTGGGCTCAAGTGATTCTCTTGCCTCAGCTTCCCAAATAGCTGGGACTACAGGCACCCAGCCACAACGCCTGGCTATTTTTAGAGACAGGGTCTTGCTCTTCCTCAGGCTGGTCTGGAACCTGTGAGCTCAGGCAATCCACCTGCCTTGGCCTCCTAGGGTGCGAGCAAGTACTGGTTATTGTTAGGTATTAGCAAACAAATTATTTACCTTCAAGATTATAATTACAGAGTTGTAGCAACTCAGCTTGGAACAGATATTCAGCTTACTGGAGGAATCTATTTTGCTCAGAGCAACTCACAAGTATCAAGCACCTTTGTAAGCCCCCCCCCACACACACACACACTAAATGAGGCTCTGAAGGCAAGAAAGGCAAATCCTTACCCAGAAAAAATAAGTCTATTCACGTGAAAACAAATCACTGGCCCTTCTAGGATGAAAGAAACCCAATGTTTTCAACTTGCTATCCAGTGGCCAACTAGTCTGGAAAAACAATGCAGTGTTGGTCTTTATGTTTAATTGAAGATTCAGAGATAGTAGTTATTAAATCAGCCATGGTAAGTGGGAGTCCATGCTACTGGGCCATTGCATAGCCTCTGTTTCTGCCTATGTAGCCAGTCCATTCATGTGTTCCTAGTGCCAGTTCCAAGATGATAATCGCTGGCTGACATAAACCAACCAAATCATTTGGTCTACAAGGTCTTTTCCATGGTGGATGCTATGCAGTAGGCACTGACATGTGAGGCAAAGACCTTGACACTTTGTGCTCTTTCCCCATATCCATGCATACACCTCTACTCCAGACTGCTATATCCAATCTTACA